CTGGACCAATCCAAATGTAAAGATATTTAACAATTTATTATCTAGACACTGAGCACCAAATTTATTCAACTTTCTTTATAGACACTGCTTCATAATTTTGTGTTCCATCCATGCAATTGGACATTGTCGAACACGCCAATTGGAAAATGTTGTTCAAAATGACCGTCAGTGACAAACGGCTTCTCGCCGAATTGCCATACGACAGACCGCTCTCTCGGGGCAGCACACTAAGAAAACAGACATCAGGGAATCCAATCCTCATATACAAAAAACTTGATGTTATTTTCATCGCCTCGAGGGAACATTCTCTGTGCATTAAAAATTCTTTGAATCTGATGTGTTATATAACGACTGTGTATGACTTGCTGAATGCCTTTGCAGAAGTGTGCCTCCACTCATGGCCAGGAAAACCCGAAAAGCAGCGGCGCCAGTAAAGCGTGTATGCATCATTTCCAGACGCCACATTATTGAATTGCGGTATCCTGTTGCACTACGTAGATCTGACTTTGCGTTCCGCTGTTTTGCCCTCTACCTGCAACGTCGGTTAATATTCTGTCGTTTTCTCTTTATTGTCGCTACATGTTTCGGCCTAACCGGCCATCATCAGGTGTACAGGTTGCTGTGATGAAGGAATCTGCTGCTTACTGCAATGCTATTCTGTTTTTCTTATGCAGTTGCCTCGGATTAATTCTAGGTTATGTGGGTTAAGCAGCTGTTTTATTTGGATGTCCTTCAACGACTCCTGTGCACGTATTTGTCTTTTGGTCTTGTTGGTTTGTTGGTTTACTTTGGTTCAGTGTGTGGCTATCCTGAAACTTTCTTTTGTTAGGGCTGAAGCTTGTTGTATGGCGGTCGGCCATCACGGTCTTTCGTTGTGCGTAGTAATTATGTACGCGTAATATTGCTCACGTGGGCTGTATTAAAGGCAATTTTAAAATTTGATAGCTGTCATCACAGTTTGGCACACTGCTTTGTATTAGCCTATAGTAGGGAAAGTTTTCAGTTTAATGAACAGTACTGTACAAGCAAATAAATAAACAAAACTAATTGCATGCATTTCTTACCTGATATTGACACACTCATTCACTCACTCACTCACTCACTCACTCACTCACTCACTCACTCACTCACTCACTCACTCATGGTGCTGAGCACTTCTTGAGAAGCTGCCAATTGTACAGCTACTCAGGAACTTTTCAGCATTTTATGGAATCAGAAGGTTCACTACCGTGTTCACAAGATCCCTCCACTGATCCCTATCCTGAGCCAGATTAATCCCCATACCATCCCATCCTATTTCTCTGAGATTCATTTTAATATTGTCCACCCACCTACGTCTTGGTCATCCTAATGGTCTATTTTCTTCTGGCTTTCCCACAAATATCCTATATGCTTTCCTCTTCTCCCACATTCGTGCTACATGCCCTGCTCATCTCATTCTCCTTGACTTGATCATTCTAATTATACTTGGAGAAGAGTACAAGTTATGAAGCTCCTCATTATGCAGTTTTCTCCAACCTCCTTTCACTTCATCCCTCTTTGGTCCAAATATTCTCCTCAACACCCTCAGACTATGTTGCTCTCTGAATGTCAGAGACCAAGTTTCATACACATACAGAACCACAAGAAAAATTATAGTTCTTTATGTTCTATTTTTTGTGATTTTGAACAGCAGACGAGAAGACAAAAGGTCCTGGAGTGAATGGTAGCAAATATTATTTGACTGGCATAAACATTTAATAAAGTATTAAGCAGTAGATCATACGGAGAAGTAAAACGACACATGTATTTATTAAGTTTAGACTGCCTATAACCAGGTTTGTGTCATTTTCTCTACGTATTGCTCTATATAGCAGGACTTTGAATCATGTAGCCTGTTAAACAAGTTAGACTCAGTTAATCTTCCCGCGCAGTTTTTGAACACGCTTTTTTCTTTCCTGTTCTGGGTTATCAAAATGTGAAATTCAGAGGCCTTAAGCTGTAAGCTGCATACACAGGCTGATTAATCATAGTGATAAGAATTCATGGATAATGGGATGTTAATGCACTCTGACATTCCACTTGACCCGTGCACTCCAGTTACCTCATTTATCCCACTCACAAAATCCCCCCTTATTGACATTATTAACCCAGCTTACTCCACTATCCCTATTCTTAATTTCAAGCACTCATTTTTTGCTAATAGGGCGGTTAGCACAGAATTCCACTACTGGATACCTTTCAGAACGCGTGCAATTAAACAGACGTTTCAGTTCAAGTTTTCGAGATACTTCGTACAAGCCTGTAAGATCCGTTTTTGGGATTTATCTTCCTATTTCTTCTCGGTGTTACAAGTGTCTCTTCTCCAAGAAATTTCTTCACCAGTATTATTCACCTATTTCTTGTTTCCTTTCCGATCTACATGTCCACCACATCTGTTCCTTTTCAATAAACTGCAGCAGCCCAAGGTAATATGTTAGAAGTTTGAATACGGCAGGTTCGCTCAGGTCAGTGGCAGAAGAAATCTCAAAATATAAGTCAGATTTAGCGGGAGTACATGAGGTCAGATGGGATGGAGCTGGCATCGCACCCGCAGGAGACTATATAATTTTCTATGGAAAGGGGAACGAAAATCATGAATTAGGTACAGGTTTTTTCGTACATAAGAGAATCGTATCAGCAGTTAAGAGGGTAGAGTTCGTTAGTGATAGGATAGCGGGCCTCCGTAGTCTAGAGGTAACGTTCCCACCTCATGACTCGTAGTACGCGGGTTCAAATACCCGGCGGAGGTCGTCGAATTTTAAGGGCGGAAAAATTCAGGGAACAAGTCCTCCAGGAGGGACTTTAAGCCGTGGGTCCGGTGTCGTAGCTTTACGGCACGTAAAAGAACCTCATATCTCCAAAGGAGTTCACTGAGCCAAAATTGCGGACGTTTCCCGCCCAACAGCAGTCACTAATACCTCTGGTAGATGGGGAAAGCATTATAGATACCTCTCAGCTAGTAGAGCCGGTCTCGCTGGCTGGGCGTGACTGATGGTAAGCACCAATACCGGTAGGATAAAGAGACTGGTAGAAATCATAGAGGGAAACACAATGGACCACTACAGGTCTAAGTGCATGGGGAAACCCACCCTCTCCAATAACTAACTAACTAGTGATAGGATATCATATATAATACTAAAAGGTCCCTGGTGTGATATCATCGTTATGGATGTTCACGACCCAACAGAAGACAATGTTGATGACAAAGGATAGATTCTATAAAGAACTAGAACATGTATTTGATAAATTCTTGATCAATGCCAAAGTAGGGAGGGAAGACATTTTCAAACCAACAATGGGAATGAGAGTTGCTTGAAATTAATATGATAATGGAGTTAGAGCAGTAAACTTTGCCACATCAAAAAATCTTACTGTCAGTAGTACAGTAGTACAGTGTTCCCGCATCGTAACATCCATAAATTTACTTGGACATCTCCTGATGGGAAGATACACAATCAAATAGACCATATTTTGATAGATAGGAGACGGCATTCAAGTATACTTGATGTCCTATCATTCAGGGCAGCAGATTGTGATACTGACCACTACCTGGTGGTGGCAAAGGTTAGGAAGAGACTGGCAGTGAGCAAACAAACAACACACAGAGTTCAAATGGAGAGGTTCAGTCTCAAGCACTTAAATGAGGTAAACTTGAAGAGCAGTATCGTGTTGAAATCTCAAATAGGTTCACAGCTTTGGAAAACTTGGAAACTGAGGTGGATGTTAATAAAGCTTGGGAAACTATTAGAGAGAATATAAAAATGTCTGCCAAAGAGAGTCTAGGTTATTATGAACCGAAGAAGCATAAGCCATGTTTCGATGAAGGATGCTCAAAATTATTAGATAAAAGAAAGCAGGCCAAATTGCAATGGTTACAGGATCCAAGCGAGTTAAATTGGGATAATCTGAACAATATAAGACGTGAAACCAGCAGGCATTTCAAGAACAAAAAGAGGCAATATCTGAAAAACAAAATTGACTAGCTTGCAATGAACAGTAAGAACAAGAACATAGAGACCTGTATAGATGAATGAATGACTTTAAGAGGGGTTACCAGCCTAGCAGTAACTTAGTGAAGGATGAGAATGGTGATCTGCTTGCAGGTTCCCACAACATTTTGAATAGGTGGAGGAACTACTTCTCTCAGTTATTGAATGTACATAGGGTCAGTGCTGTTAGGCAGACCGAAATCCATACAGCTGAGGCGTTAGTACCAGATCCTAGCCCTTTTGAGGTTGAAAGTGCTATTGCATAATTGAAACGGTATAAATCGCCAGGTAGTGATCAAATTCCTGCAGAACTTATTCAAGCAGGAGGCGAAATATTACGTTCTAAGATCCACAATCTAATTACTTCTATTTGGCATAAGGAGAAATTTCCTGATCAGTGGAAAGAGTCTATTATTGTACCAGTTCACAAGAAGGGTGATAGAACTGACTGTAGCACAATTCAGATATTTGGGAACGACGATAACAAATCAAAACTTGATTCAGGAGGAAATTAAGAGATTGAATTCGGGTAATGCTTGCTATCATTCAGTCCAGAACCTTTTGTCCTCTCGTCTGCTGTCCAAAAATATAAAAATTAGAATATAGGTGTACAAAACTATAATTTTGCCTGTGGTTCGTATGAAACTTGGTCTCTGAAAACCATTCATTTCGATTCGCTTCGACTCGAGTGCCAGCAGTCGAAGATCAGTTTTCTTGCTGGAAACTAGTCTAAAAATGAACAAAGCAACAGGCCGGGTCCTGCTAGGGTCACGGTGTTAGTGTGTCACTAGGCACAGATTATGGTATTCATATATGGTAAACTGACAATATATAGGGCATATAATTTATTTTATCGGTCAAGGGCCCTGAGATAACCAGAGAGAGAACAATTAACATTTACAGCAAACTCAGGCAAGCAGGCAGGCTTGTACAGAATCTTCTTCATGCTTATATAAGAAGATGCTGCTGTCTGTTGTACACGTTCTTGTGACTAGCAGCATGCCAGCAACAGTAGAGCGTGTTCTGCAACTGGCGTTGTGCTGTGTCGTCGTCACGGCTAGGCCAGGTAATCGCCGTAGGCCCTTCGCTATTGTTGCATGCTTGTTCACATGATAAATACTCCTGTCCTGTGACAAGTCTTGGCTTAACTTTTTCGTTTATTTTCATGGATATATTTACATGCACGTGCACAACGAATTCATGTATTCAGTAAATATTTAATCTTTATTGTGTGTAATAGCAGTGAACAGTAAAGCCTTAACAGTGATTTTTTATATCTATGTTGTATAGTTTTAACTTCTCGTGAATTTAAGAACGCCTGAACCAACAATGAATAATTTCATGCGATTTTAATGTTGGATTATAACAACAACAACAACAACAACAACAACAAAAAGGTGCTTTCAATGGCACAGTGTTTAGTGAGCCGATTATAGCTGATAGCAAGAAGAGAGAGGCAGTTGCTTTGTTCCACTTTAGGAGGTCCTGGAGGACATGAGAAGGATGTGGCAACATGCAACTCGGGTTAGAAATTCAGGATCTTTTATCCAATAGTTACGCATTTCTCACTAACTAACACTACTACATTTGCAATGAGGTCCGTTTGAGCTAACAGTTTTGTTGATGTAAAGTAAAGGGTCTAAAATGGCGGCCTGAGTTGATGATTGGGAAAAATAAGTAGACTCCTATTATATATACTCGTACAAGGTACATTTTGTATATTGCCACGCTTTAAATGTGTGACTATAGGCGATGTATGGGTTGGATATTGAGTTTATTGACCACTTTAACACACAACTCGTAACTACAATTAATTATAGCGCTATTGCTAATCACCACACTTTACAGTTCATCGTTACACACACTAGGGTTCTCAGTCTTCAATAGTCGTATCCTGACAAGGGATTTCAACACAGTAATTACACCAATATCACTATAAGTGCAGTAAAAATGAAATCTTCTTTTCATATCCGCACCCTTTCAACTCAACTGACTCGTTGACATTTGTTCTCAATCATTTTCGACTGTCGTCTCAAAAAAAATCCTCAATTATTCCGTTATATAGCCTGGGGGCGGCTTCAACACTTTTCCGTCGTTATAGCCCAGCAGCACCTTTATTGTTTCTTGCTTATTCGTTGCCGCGGGAACATGTTTACTGAGACGTTGCCTAGCAATTGAAATCTACTCTGGTTCTACTACTCCGGCTTTCAGGCGTCATGTCACATTATCATACCAGTGATTAATCTGTACACAGATTCTGGGACGCTGGAATCTTAGTCTATATCATACTGTCTAATCACCCAAAAAGCCTCCATTTCATTCAGTCTGCCTGAAGATTTCAGATCATGTAAAATTACAAATAAAATCCCACCATAGCCCGTAGTTTGTGTCCTGTCATATGCAGGTAGTGGCCTTTCGTTGGGTCTGTCCATTATCCAAGCAGTCCTAGGATATAACGCGAAGGTTTACAGTCTCGTATTTACTTCTGAGTCAGAAAAGGCTTGAGCGCCTGGTTCGTTAAGTTCCAAGAATATTTTCACATGATGATCAAGGAAGATTTTTAGAACACAATGTCGGTTCATTTATTTATACAGGGTGTGTACGAAGCCCAGTCTCGCTCTATGTAAACGCATCGTAGAGTTATGTAAATTACGTTACATTGATATATGCTCCTTACTTTTCGTAGCACAAAATGATGAGTCGACAAGTTTGATGTGATTGCAGGAGCAACAATTATAATCCCGCTTATGCATCTCCTTGAGATCATCTCTTCATCTGTATCGAAGTCTCCATATCCACAAAGTGTTGTCACGAGATGAAAGGGTGATTGAGATTTCTCTCGGGCCCGAAAAATCCGTCTGTTTGAAAACACCTTAGTCATGCACTCGCAAAAAAAAGAACAGCAAAATGGACAGATATTTCATCTCTCGTCATGAATTCCCATAATTTTCAACTGTGGCACAAATTATTCTCTTAGCATTACTTTGTTTATTTACTTGACCATCGAAAAAGAATGGTCCAAAAATAGTTTCTCTTGGCAGAGCCTCCCGTATAACAAACTGTGGTGGTTCTTTCTCAGCTCTTCGTGGTATTGTTGTGTTGTTTTTATACCATACGAAAACTTTCCTTTCTCTACAACTTCGATAAATAACATGATCATCTGAAACTATGCACTGTGCCTCTGAGACACGAAATTGATGGGGCTAGGTACTTTGTGCTCACCTTGTACATTAGCCGTAATAGCTGTGACAAGCGTACTCTTGTTCAGAACTTGACCTGATATCCATATTTCTGCTTACTGAATGCTCAAAGGAAAATTACTTATTAAATAATATATAGCCAAAGGATATCTACTCGCAGTTACTATATTCCCTATTTTCTTTTTCAACAGATGACTGTGTACATGGATGCCAAAGAAAGATTCACAGAACTGACTACAGTAAGTACAAAAACGCAAGCGGCAAAGAGAATGGAACGCAGGAACAACCTAAGAAGAATTTAGTCAGATTCACTTCTTTGCTCTTCAAAATTAAGACGTGGATTATGAAAGCAGACGTTTTCTAAATTAAAAGAATAAAGACCTGAGTCGGGATAGCGCAGTCGGCATAGCGACTGGACGACCGAGACGTCGGCGTTCGAGTCCCGGTAGGGTCAAGAATTTTCTCTTCTCCAAGTATTCCAGACCGGCTCTAGGGTCCACCCAACCTCCTATTTAATGAGTGCCGAAGGCTCTTTCTCCGGGTGTAAAGCGACCAGGATGTGAAGCTGACCACTCACCTCCAGCTAGTGCCGAGGTCAAGAGAAAGTGGATCTATACATCTTTATACGCCTTTATGGCATAGTGCATAATTCGTTAAGCACAGGGACAACTTTAACTTTACCTTAGTTTTTATATCAACCCTCAAACACACGACACAGTGAAACAGAAGACTGCTCGCTTGTTCGTTTGCACACTACATAACTTGCTTTCATGCAACATCAGTTGTCTACATTTTGTAGTTATGGTAATCCTACATTTTGTAGTTATGGTAATCCGAAATTACATAATTTCAGAGCTAATATCTCACTGTTACAAAATGTTATATTTATATATAAATGATTTTAATATAACCATGTACCTAACGTAATTCTTTCTACATAAAAAGCAGCTAAATTTGGGTGATGTTTATATATTTGTCACTTTTGGTTTTGATTTCTTCTGCAGGTTGGTCCAGCTCACAGTCCTCACCCAGCAGCGATTCGGCAAACTTCAACTTACAGCATGGTGCAATGCCATTCAATTTTGGATCAGCAAGTAATGATTTTGGCACCCCAGGCTTTGGTCCGCTTGGGACGATTCACTCAGGAACTAGCACTTACAGTAACAGTCCCAGCTCTGCACGAAGCTTCTCTGGATCTGTCAGGACCAGGGAACAAGTGTTTAGTGAACGCGGAGGATACGGTGGTTATGACGCCGTTGGAAGAGGTGGAACTATAGGTGATGCAGCACCAAGTACCAACTATGCTCGTAGTGGGTCGTTAGGTTTTGGGACTGGGACATTTGGCCATGCTTCAGGACTTGGAAATGGCAGATTGAATAATGCTAATGCAGTAATGTTAAGTAGCAGTGGTGGACTGACGCAATTAGGGAATGGAATGGAACACGGACACAGTAGATTTGTCACCAGCTTTGGGAGTGGACTTTCGGGAGAGGGCGGGCCACATGTAGCTAACGGTGGTAACGGAGCACGAAGTTCAACTTCCTTTGTACACCGTTCAAATTTTGAAAAATACACAGAAATCGGTGGAGTTGGAAACAGTGATTTGGGATCCGGAAGGCTGGAATTGTCAAAAGTTAGCGGACCTAGAATTGGAAGTAATTCCTTAAGAAGTGTAGCAAACGCTTTTGGTAGCGTAGGAAATAGCAGAAATAATTTAGAATCAACAGTGTATCCAAGTGAAAATGTAGATAGAGGTACTCGGTTTGGGACTGGAATTAACGGAGCACGAAATTCTTTAAGTTTAAAAAGCGGATCTATGGTAAGGACAACGAATGGAGGATTGTTTGGATCTGAACCCAGCACCAAAGGGGTTGGATTTGGAAGTGGCGCAAGCTCTAACGTATCTAGGACCTCTATTGTTTCTGAAACACGCGGAAGTCACTCTGGAAGGTCGAAAGATTACGGAAGAAGTGGCAGATTATCTGATACCGGTACTTCAGAAGCAGGTAGTGGCCTTGAAGGAGCAGGGAAACAACTTCGATTCTTTGAAAGCGTCAGCAGGTCTCGTAGCGGAAGCTTCTCAGAAAGTGGACGCAACATCGGTGCTAATGACTTCGGGGGGTTGATAGGAAGTGGCACTGGGATAGCGAGCGATGAATTTGGTTCACATGATGGTGCCGTAAACAACTTACACGTTAATAGAGAAAAAGGAGTTGGTGTCGGTGCAGTTGGAGGCAATGTTGTAATTTCTGACGGAGGTGAAGGTGAAGGAGGCTTGAGGCTTTTAGAGAGAGGAAAAGTGTTAAGCAGCGGACCTACTGGCCCAGAAATAATAATTAGCCAATCATCTACCCATAGTTTAAAAAGTAGTAAAGCTCGCTTAGTTCCCACCAGCGGAACGAGCACTAGCGATTTCGATGATGGAATTAAAGGTCTAGAAGTGAAGGGAACAGTTGGTAGAAATAAGGAATTTATACGCTCTTCTACTACGTACACCTTAGGAGGAAGTGAATTGAAAAGAAGTTTCGGCTCTGGACATATGGGATTAACTCCCGATGGAAGCTTTAGTTCACTTGAATCATCAGATAATTCCGGATTTGTCTCAGCATCTAGTAAGGCTGAGAAATTTTCAAAAAGTCCAGGGGAAGGATTAGTCTCTGAGGAAGTTTCTGGAGGAACTGACAGCGATTCAGAAAGTCGTTTAGAGGGCTTAAGAATTCCAGAAAATGTAAACAGCTTAGGAGGTAATGGTGGTAGTAGTACTGGAACTGTTGGTGATTCTGGATTTGAAAATACACGCGGGGTAGAAAGCGGTGACATTAAGAGTCATATCAGACTGAGTAGCAGCGCGTCTGGATCCCATACCCATAGCGTAATTGGCCTAGAAGATTCAGACGAGAGTGTCAGTAATTTTGGAAGTCCTTCTGTCGGCAATAAGAACCCAAATGGGATCATTGTTTCTCGTTCTTCTGCAAGGGGACGGAGTGACGTGGGAGGTAATTCTGGTTCAGGAACCGGCGGTGGCGTACGAGATATTGATAAGAGGTCTGAAGGCGATTTTACTGGAAGTGAAGGGGGTATCGGCAAAATATTTGGAATTAGTTCCAGAGGCAGCAAAAGCGGACCAGGAAGTACCACATCTGGGGGCTCTGCGGGCACTTCAGAAGCTGCATCTGGGTCTGAAGAAATCTCAGCATCTGTACATAGGCCTACTTCTAATCTCAGAGGCGGTTTCAATGGCTCCGGCGGTACTACTAAGAGTGGATTAAGAGGACCTGCAGCCAGTTTCGGACATATTTATGTAGTTCGAGAAAGCTCCTCATTGCAGAGTGGTTTCGACGGAGAAGGAGGCTCCAGCATTCCTTCTCACTATGGGTCTGGTGGTACTAAGGATGGATCAAAGGCAGGAAATGACGGAGGCACTACAATTAGTTTGGGTGGTTTCGGAGGTGGCTCTGGGCCGGAAGGTACTCCTGGCTCAGGAGGAAATTCTGTATCGATAGCTGATGTCAATAAATTAAGGGATATTAGCAGTGATTTTCGAGACGGCTCCGATGACAATAATAGTCGCAGTGGGACCTTTGGAGGACCAGAAGGTGGTTTGGGTGACAGTGTTCTGTCAGGCAGTAGAAGAGATACTGGAAATGCTTATGGCAGTGGGAGTTACATTGTAAGTGGTTCAGGCAGCAGTAGTTTTGATAGTTATGCAGGTAGTTCAGGCAAATCAGGTCATAATTATGGATTTATTGATGGCGGAAAACATAGAGGCAATATTTTCGGCACTGAAAGTAAGAGAAAAACTACATCTGATAGTGATATTACTGAAGGCTCTGCTATTACACGCAGTGGCTTTAGCAGCAATTATGAAGCTAGTGACCTGGGTGAAATAAATGACCATAAGAACATATTTGGTTCTGGGGACAAGAAATCACATAGTCTCGCCTTCGGAAGCTCAGCCGGGAACAGTTACGGGTTAGACAGAAGTGACGGTGGGAAAAAAGTTTCTGTCAGTATTTTTGGAGACGACAGTAATACCGAAAGAGGATCCACGAATGGCGATTTTGGAGACTCTTCTAGTAGCCCGTTTTTAAGTAATTATGCAAATAGTGGTTTGAACGGAATAAGTGGGTCTCAGAACATTTTCAGAACAAGTTACGTTGCCAGTGTGACGCACAGTAAGACGATTGGTAGTTCCAGTGGAAGCGCCACTGGCCTCTTAAGCAACCCTGAATTAGGGACAAGTGGCCTTGTGCATAAAAACGACACTGAAAGTTCTTTTGGAAGAGGGAGTGATATCCACGTAGGATCCAACTCAAGTGATTTTGAAAGCTCTATCGGGAGGACCAGTTACTTGGGCAGTTACGGATTGCAAGGAAATGGGTTCAGCGGAATAAGAGGTACTCGTTCTGATGTTGCTCAGAGTCAGGGTCAAAGCGGATTAGATAGTGATACTTCTGCATCCTCTGCTGAAAGTTTGACAGGTGGAAGTGGTTGTGGTGGAGCCTATGGTTATGATCAAGTTGGAAGAGGCTGTGTTGAAGGTAACATAGGAATTCGCGATGAACATCAGTGGAAAACTGCAAATTTCGCTAAAGAAAGAAGCACAGGAGAAGCTGTAAACTCAGAAGATGTTGGTGAGGACAAAAGTGTAGATGTACATACTACAGGGGACTCAGCGTTCGTTGTTGGGTTGGAAGAAAATACTAATTCCGGTAGAACAAACAGTTTCAATACAGGTACAGGCACGCCAGGTATAGTCGGCGAAAACAAGGAGAGAGCGAGTGCTATTGGCGATATTTATGAAACTAGTAAACTTAGGAGTGGCTCAAGTAGCAGCGTGGTAGGCGGCAGTGTCCGTGGTGGTTTCAGTGGCATTAGGGGTACAGACTCCGGAGGTTCTAGCGCTCAAGGGGGCTCAGTACATGGTGGAGAAGTAAGGGGTCCCTTAGCTGGGAATATACCTGGTAATGAATTCAGCTCAAACGCGAATAACTTCAGAAGCGTTGGTGGTTACATCAGATATGTAGGTGGATTGAGGGAACTGGGCGAAATTGCAGCTCTTCGTGGAACGGGTGAATCTGATGTTAATGTTAGAGGGGATCATAGTAGTAGCAGTCTTGGTGTGCTGAGTAATGGTGGAGCAGACGGAATATTCGGCGAAATAAATCCCTACAGTATTAGAAGAAATATGGTCCAGAGGAGCTCCAGCAGAAGCAGTTTAGGAGGAACTACTAGTGCTGAAGGAGACGCGAGAGGGGAACCAGCTGAATCTGAGATAAGCAATGGTTCCAAAAATGGATTTGTTGTCTCACATTTCTGGAGTTCTGGAGGAATTCCAGACTGTGGAAGTGGTCTGGATGGAACTGATGGCACCAGCAATTCAGGTATGAGACCATAAAATGTGAAATATTTGTTACATTCTGTCTAAAAGTTTTGGTGTTGTATTCACCCGTCCTGTTTAGCGGTTGCTCTGGTAGCGCCCTTCGTCTTCCACTGAGAGTTACTGCTCCTGCAAGAACTTTATTAAAACGATGACAATTATTCAGATGGTGAAGATAAAATCCGCAAGTTCAGAAAGTCTAAAAAACACGTAATTGTATGTTATGTGCCAGCTCAATCTAGTTCGATCCTGTTTATCAAACTTATCTTTTTATTATATCCTTCCACAAACTTTTATATGTCCAAATGTCGCCTCTTCCTCTTAAGTATGTCGATCCAAATAATATATTTATATATCATACATCATCTTCTGCACAGGTCTGATTTGAATCTTATTTTTATGATAGGACACTATGAAACGGATTATTGTAACAGCCATTTTCCGAAGTACATTTTAACCGCATCCCCTCATGTCATTTGACGGTATATAGGCCCTGCTACTTCTAACAACGGAAACAATTCATATATTAAACCTATTATTTGGCTTATGTACATTAATGGAAGCAGGCCTAGAGCTTTAATTAGTCTTTGTTGCTTATGCCTCCAGACTTTTTGATTGTACCTTTTTTCGATTTGTAGCCGTAACTACACTACAAGGAGAACGGTAAAAAACGTTTAAATTAAAAAACGGGAAAGTTATGCCACTCTTCGGAGCAGTATTGATTGATGAGGTGTGCAAAATTACCGTTACCAATTGCACATGGAAGAAACGCCGGCACGGAAATTCGGTGTGAGTTTGTTACCAATCTGATTCTGTGCAGCCATCGACGCCTGAGTTCCATATAGCTCCCTTTGAGTGCGCTGTGCCTAAAACTTGCTGTAGCTGATGTTTTAAGTCGGAAGAAACGAGACTGTGCATATTTATTTCAGTGATTTTATTAAAATCTGAACAAGGCTCGCTAGAGATCATTTGCTATTTTCAATTTATTTAATAACTAAAACCAATTCCAAAAGGCACTGAATATGATCGCTACGATTTAAGAAAGATGTACTTCGAATTAGTTAGTATTGTCACATGACGCCTGAAAGCTGTAATCTGCTCATCTGGGCTGGGCTTCACTGAGCATGTTCCCGTGGCAACACGGAAGGCGCTACTGCTGGTCGGCGAACTGTTGGAACACGTTTCCACAGCAACGAATACAACTGAAGAAGCAATGCATTGCTTAGACGCCGATTAGTAAGTAACGCGTACAGAAACATTACCGTTGCAACAGAGAGGTAAAGGCTGTTCACATGGCAACCAACCTCCACATCACAGAACGCGATAACTCTACTGCTGCAGGAGGTGATCTCCATGCGGTTCGACCAGAACCTTCCTCAGGGAGAGAACTGACCAACAGAAGACAGAAGAGGACAGAACACAGAAGACGAAGTCAGAAGTCAGAAGTAAAGTCTAGTTTAAGTGGTGTCATCATTGTTCGTAGTTACGAAGCATTATAGTTGCAGTACAGTACAGTACGCCAGGAACAAATCAGTTTTCATCATGTGTACGTGGACACTTCATATTCATTTAATGCAATTACAGAAATACTGCTGAAACAGATTAATCTCAGTATCGATAAAACTCTCTTTTCTGTTATGCTATCATCTGTTAAATCTTTGATATTCACATAATTAAAAAAATAGGCAGTTTTCCAGAGCGTTGGGTTCTTTCTTGCGGATGACATATACGTTACATCAAGCAGGTTAGTCTACCGGAAATAACCTTGACTTATAGTATTCAGATCGAATCTCGGGTGGGACACAGTATCCTGAGGTGTTTCGTTGTTTACCTCAGTCCCTCCAATCAAATTTTGGAGTCACAACTCAGTTATGCCACAGCCACTGCACTCTATAATCTGGACACTGACAGCGTTGCGAAATGTACCACAGAAGAAAACACTAATCGTTAAAAATGACCATTCTTCTTTCGTGTTATCCACCTCGTGCTGCATTCGTGTGGTAGAAATGAGACATAATAATCGCTCGCTTATAGCACCATACAGATCTGCTGGCACTCAATGCTAAAAGAATTATATTCTCTTACGTTTAACTGAATAATTCAGACCAAAACATCGGGACTAAGTGCGTTTTTAGACAGTGTGAAGAAACGCGTCTGTTATTGCAGATTATTTCCTTATATAGAGACTTACACCACGAATCAAATTAGAATTGTGGAACTTAATGAAAAGTTATGTCCATCTTGTGTAGCGACTTCCAATTTCTTTGCCTTTCAGAAAACCCTTAAGAGACGAATCTTCATTTTATATAGAGTAGGGATTGTACTGAAATGTCGGGAGTTATATTCATGACTGTCTTCTTTGTCCACACTTAATTGAAAATGTAATTAATATTCTACCAGTGTAGTTTCGTGCATGCAAACGTGCGAATAGTTTCCAATTATGTGTGCATTTCATGAATTAATTTAAAGAACTCAAGAGGAGCTGAAAACATGCACCCTGAACTTGTTACATTTTTTATTGTGCGGGGGCGTTCATATCATCACATATGATTTTCTTTCCCCCAATGGCTCTATAGCATCCTTGGGTCCTGGTCTCTGATTTTGAGTTTCATGATAATTTTACAGACTGTAAGACTCCTTGGACGAGTGATCAACTCGCCGCAAGGCCTCTGCCTAAACAGAGGACAATACAAACACAAATTAAACACATACACATACCAAACATCCATGCCTTATTCGAACCCACGATCCCGGCTTCCGAGCTAGCGAAGACAGTGCATGCCTTAGACAGCTAGACTATCATGACCTATTTCTAGATGAATTAATAAATGCCAATGAATTATTTTTCAGATCCTCCTTCAAGTGTGGGGAAACACGGGAGTGTTAAGGTTGGATAAGGGCGCTGATTGCATACCATGGAACACAAGAGTATTGACGATCACAATTGTTATCATCATCTGCATTGTTATGTTAAACATCTCATAAAATTACCAAGTGTATGGATGAGGGTTATTTATTGAATTTTCTTTCACTACTTTGTAATTAAGACTGATTAATAACTTTGAAATGAGAAAATAAGACACAACTTAATTACAAAATAAAATGGAAAATGATGTAATAATCAGATAAATCTTATTAAAGTAAATAGACTTTAAATAATTCTGACGATGGTGTATATTGTACAGAACTATTACGAGTAGACTTATTTTAGACCCTGTCCATCGTCTGGTATATATAAGACTGATTGAGACTAGCTCTTTCTGACGGGCCCAACTGAGGAGGTTTATCTTGCACCATCCACCTGATGACGGAGACAGATCCAGTCTCCGAAACGTTGTGGTTTATTGTCTTCTATATATACTTGTACCAGACAATGGATAGAGTCCAAAATAAACTTATTAAAGTAAGTTTATAATTTTACAAAACTGCTTAAAATTAAATTTGTACGCCTTTGTATAATGGGGAACGCGGTAGCGTAGTTGGTTGAGGGACTATGCTACAAGCCGGAAGGTCGAGGGTTCAAGTCCCGATGAGGTCACTGGATTTTTTTCAATTGACCTAATCCTTCCAGCCGCACTATGGCCCTGGGGTTGAATCAGGCTCTAATAGAAATGAGTATCAGGAATTAATTAAATAATTTTCCTGGGGAGTAAAGCGCGGCCGGCGCGTAAGGCTGACAACCTTACCGCCATCTTTGAGCCGATTGTCTAGATAATGTGGAACCCTCAACGTCTCACAACCCTATGGGTCTTCAGGCCTGGTACAGGGATAGCTTTACTTTTACTTACTTTTACGCCTTTGTGTAACATTATTAGAATGACCACCTGTAGGATGAGATGGGAGTGTAGCACAAATGGAGAAGATGCGAATCACATTAAAAGTTCTGTTGCAAATTTCAAGAGCGGGAGTTACGTGGGACGCTTCAGTGTACGTAGGAAGGAAAGCCTATAATTAAAAAACAGATTATAAAATGTATTGTAGGGTTGTGTGACCTGGGTTTAAATATCCCATAGCAAATAGAAGAATGGTGTGAACATGGTAAGGAACTTTTCGACTTCAATAAAATTAAGGTATTTCGTGAATATTCTCTAAAAATGAGCCTATTTCGCAGAGTCAGTCACTTTACGACTACACTCTTACAACGGGTATTTTCCATACGTGTTTTCAATCGTAAACAGTTTCACTAATTGTGATCCACATAAGATTCATCAGCTCATAATTCATGAAACTGATGCCAGTAATTATTGAAAGGACTGAATTCAATCAGCTGAAATCTTCATTTTGAGGACTGTGGTACTTGAACAATCGCTGAACCAACGAAACAACTTTGCTGAGTGAAGAAATCCACTTGTACTAACAATTTGTATGAACGCGGTTAGTGATTTTAATTATGAACTCTCTAAAAATTGCATAATGAAAATATCCGATGGGTTACTAAGTTACTGGAGAGGATATAAACTCACACAAATCCACCCTGGTAATCAAGTCTTCCTTCCGGGAAAGCACATCAAATGCGTACACATTAGCAAGACGAATAGTAATTACAATTTGAGGAAATATCGGAGTAAATTACGAAAACCGTATAGGTCGTAAAACTTGTTGAGTGCCTAATATGCATCATCTGACAGAAACTGCATTTGATAGAGGTAATGAGACCCTTATAAAACTTATCTGTTTGGTATAAATACGTTGAAATCAAGGCACAGCACATTAGAATTTAAAATGGCTTCCTCAACTACATTCGCACTTCTGGATCTNATAATTATTAATAATTATTAAACATTATTCATAAATGTTTGTTATAACTCTGAACAGCTTATTGCGAGACTTTTTGGTGTGCTAGAAAACAAGTTTACGACGGAACTATTACTCATTACATTAAAGTAAAATATTTAGCTTGTAAGTTATTATTCAAACAACTCCATTTCAGCAAACATATTTCCCATGTGCTTGTCTTTGCTAATATTCATATATCAATGTCCCTTATTCTCATCTCTTTCAGACAATATGTTACTACGAACTGAGGAGAAGGAAATTAATGACATTGCACACATAATCATAAGATATTTGTCATTATATTTAAGTAAATATTAACCACATAGAAAAATTGTCCACACTTAACTCTTATATCTTAATAAGGTCTGTACAAACCAAACAATAAACAAACTCCGTGGATTTTAGTCCTCAAGCGAAGTATATCTACCGAGTGACCGCCGCTTATCGCCGAAGTTAGTGCCTACTTTAGCTGATAGAGGGTGTCTTGTGGTCAACGCAACGGATTCCCACGGCCGTTAATCTCAGTTTTCTAGACCGGAGCCGCTATTTCCTTGAAATAGCTCCTCAGTTATCTTCATGAGGCTGAGTGGACCCCGTTCCAGACCCACTGCTTCTCAGAAAATTTGGTAGCCCCGGAAATCGAACCCGGGACCTCTGGGACTATAGCCAGAAACTCTGACCAGTAACCAGCGGTTAGTGACCACAGCGACGAGTTACAGAGGAAAATTATTACACGCTTTCTGTGCTTCGTATTGAATCGTTGTGTTTAAAATTTTTAATTACGATACAAATTATGAAAATGTAGAAATTACTCAGACGTCTCTTAAGCTTTCCTACCGACAGTCAAATGCCTCCTTATGTATTATGATTAGGACATTATTGAATAAATTGTAAATTTTTATGTGTTTTTCGAATTAGGCATATTTTAGGTAAACAAATTTTACTTCTCGGGAAAATATATGTTTTTCTCTTTGGTTCATATACAAATTGCCTCTCAGGTATAAGCGCTCTGCAGACGTAGTTGCATCCAGGGATAAGTTAGACCGGAAGTGGAATTGACCTATAGTATATATTATATACTATATTATGTTGTATTGTGACGTGGCGTCTGATAGCCGGACTATAAGAAGTCAGTCACTAGTCAACGGCTAGCAATTCTTAGGCAGGGAAGCCTAGGAAATCGTTGCCTTCGAAATGAAAATCTAATAATGGGGGTTCCGCCGTTACAAACGAATTGTTTGAAGCAGATACATATTCCCTCGTTCGTTTCGTGGCAGCGGGAAAAATTAACCTTTCGACAAGATATTCCCTATTCAGTCCAAGTGCAAGATATAAGACCCCAACTGCGACAAGAGACTAATTCACTTTGTATTCGACTTTAGCAGGAGAGAGTTCTTATCTGACTAAAACAGAAGAGTTCTTATCCGCATTGGTATCTGACGGGACGAAGGCCAGTTGAGCTCAGAACAGAAGACACTTCACCAAGCTCAGCTGTTCAAATATTGTAATATTGAAGACGAAACGTCTGACGACGTTATAAGCTGAGTATAATTGTACTTTTTTATTTATTTATTTTAGGATATTTACAATCTACTCATAATGTACTAATACAGAGTAATAAGCAAATGTTAGAGCGTTGCGTGGCTTGTAGGGAGTACCATCCACTGATGGGTTACCCTCTGTTACCTAGAATAGGTCTTCTGGCCATTGACGTTTGAGTCTTCTGTTCACTAAGGGTTGGACGGCGAGTTCTTTTATTAGTTGGTTTTCATGATCCACAATGCGGTTTCTGTATTTGATGGCCTGTTTGTTTATAACCTCATTTATATAAGGAACTCCAAGATCTTCGTGGAGAGTTTGATTTGATACGAACCATGGAGCGTTAGTTATGTAACGTAATGTTTTTGACTGGAATGTTTGTAGGAATTTGGTGTTGGATGGCTTACTACAGTCCCACAGTTCTATACCGTACGTCCATATGGGTGTGAGTATAGTTTTTTAAATGAGAAGTTTATTTCCAATGATAGCTGGGATTTTTTTACCAATTAACCAGTTCATGTTTCTCACTTTTGTTGATAGTTGTAATCTCTTGGCCCGGATATGGGTCTTCCATGTGAGCTTTTGATCAAGGTGAAATCGGACATATTTGACTGTAGATTACATAAGGATTGGTCCATTGTTTATTGTGATTTGTGGGCACGTGCTCCGTTTTGTTGTGAATGTTGTTTGTACTGATTTTTCGACATTCACTGTGATTTTCCAGAGTTGTAGCCAATCTTGGAGGGCGTTGAGGTATTGCTGTATATTTTTTGCTGCCTTATTAGGGTTTATATGAGAGGACAGAATGCAGTGTCATCTGCAAACATAGCCAATGTTATGTCGTGTGCTTGGGGTATGTCAGATGTATAGATTAGATAGAGAAAGAGGCAAGAACACTACCCTGTGGAACCCCCGAATTGATGGGGTGGTAGTCGGAGTGTGTATTTCCAATTTTGACTTGAAAATGGCGGACAGTCAAGTAAGATTTTTTATCAAGACGTAGATTTGACAAGGCAAGATATTTTTTAATTTGTATAGTAATCCCTGGTGCCATACTTTATCAAAGGCTTGTTGGAGATCTAAGAATACAGATGCACACATCTTCTTACCCTCCAGGGTTTCCTCTATTTTGTTAACCAATCGATGCCACTGGTAAGTTGTTGAGTGGGGGTGCCTGAATCCGAACTGGCATTGGGGGATGATGTCTTCTGTTGCTCTCATTTGTTTTATTCTGGTTAATAGTAATCTTTCGAAAGGCTTGGACATCATAGGCAAAAGACTGATTGGCCGGTAGAAAGAAGCTTCGGTTGGTGGTTTACTGGGCTTAGCAATCATAATTACTTGTGCGAACTTCCATTGTATGGGGAGTAACAGAGTCTTAACATACTATTGTATATCGTTGTAAGGAGTACTATTGATTTTGTGGGAAGGTGTTTAAGTATGACACCTACTTGTAGGTCGAATCCCGGAGCTCTGTGGGAATGCGTTTTAAGGAGTCCATGAGAGAAAAGGGTCGTATGTGTAGGGAGAGTTGACAAGGAAGTCCAGGAATTTTAGGATTTCTGCTCGATCGATGTTGTCATCTTTTGCAGGTGAGAAGATTTTTGCTAGGTGATCTGCAAAGATATTCACTTTTTCTTGGTCGGATCTTGCCCAGTTTCTATTGAAGGTTCTAAGTGGTGATGTTGCCATCATAGGCCTTTGAAACTTCCTCGTTGCCTTCCATAGCGATTGATCTTCAGGAGTTAATTGAAGGTGTCGTTACGAGCTGATTGTGTTGTGGTGTGC